TATTAGTTTAGACAACTTATTTCATTTACAGTTAACAACTAAAAAAAGTTGCTTACATATCCAATTACGAGCTCACAATGCAATTTAAAAGCGAAATTCTAAACTCCAGCTGCGAAATTCAATCAAAGGCATTATTAAAAATGGTTTAGAAAACTAAAAAAAAATGTCAGAAAATGCTTATGCTAATAATGAGTCCATCCTCCAGATTTATTTATAACTTCAAAAATGCGGTTCGGCATCGAAAAGATCACTTTTTGGAACTCCGAATGCGGAATTTTGTACCACTCTTCAGTTACGGTGCTACGCAGCTGTTCTATCGACTAAAACTTTCGTCCTCCAGCGTATACTCGACGAGAAAGATTGCCCCACATGTTCTCAATCGGATTTAGGTCTGGAGATCGTGATGGCCACTCTGAAACAGGAATTTCCTTCTCTCGAAGCCAACTACGGGTGGCACGTGATACGTGTATTGCAGCATTATCTTGCTGAAATGTCGCGTTTGTGTCCGGTAGATCTTCCATAAAGTTAATCAAAACTTCGTCCAAAAGATTTATGTAGTCCTCCGAGTTCATACGTCCTGAAATTTTGCAGATTGAAGTCCTTTTGTAGTGGCTGAAACCAGCCCAAACCTCAAAGTACCTCCTCCAAAGTTTCGTTTGGTGGAAAAGCGCTCAGAGCCCCTCAAATCATGCCAGTAGTAATTAAAACCGTCAGGTCCATCGAGGTTAAATTTTTTCTCGTCAGAAAATATAACATTTTTCCACTCCTCGGTCCATCACATGTGCTGTTTTGCAAAGGCTAATCTAGCTGTTTTGTGGGATTCATTCAATGCCGGTTTGGATTTCATTTTTCTCCAAACTAAGCGATCGCTGCTGGCTAAAATTTGTTGCACACGACGTTTACATACTTGTAAGTCAAGGTCTGATACAATTTTGGAAGCCGTTGCGTTTCTTTCCAGCCCAGCGCGAATAATAGCGGATTTTTGCCGAGGAGAGCATTTTTGATTATTTTTATTCGACCGATTAGTATTATAATTCTTTTTTAACTTAATCGCGTTATCTATTTAACTTAATCGCGTTATCTATTGCTGTAGCAGACCGACCCAATTTAGCCGCGATTTGCCGATTGGACATGCCTGTGTCCTTGTAAGCAAGGATCTGAGCAAGTTCCGCGGTTGTGAGCGTTTTTCCTTTTCCCATGCTTAATTTTTTAAAAAACTCACGCGTGTAAAGATTCAAATGCTTTAAAAAATACTTAAACTTCAAAATGGCATCAAAAGAAAAACGATCTCGTTCTCAATTAACTTTTTCTGAAACTCACAAACTACTACCTTTAATTGAATTTCGTAGGAGAATCAGCCACTAAACGGAAAATTTCACAAATACTTAGAAAAGAAGTACGATATTGGCATATTTTATGTGCCAAAATAAATAGAGGTTTAAAGACTTAAGACCAGAGCAAAAAGAGTGCGGCGTAATCGTTGCAACAAATATTAATGGTAGAAGTGCAAATGCCTTTAATAAAATTTCGAGGAGTGTATTATTGCAGATACTATAGAACAGGGCCGGCGAACCTTTATACATATACTTATAAGTATATTTCCAAAGTAATATTCAATGTAGCCATGACGAGCCAAAAAGATATCATGATTTATCGCCGTTCTTGGGGATATTAATTGACACATAAATTGTATTATTTTTTTTTTAAGAAGGAATTAAGCATCTCTTAAGTCGGATTCATTTTTCCAGTTCTAAACTTTTATTCTCTCTGGGAGGGAAACGCACTAACAACAGTCAAATGGAAGAAAAGTTCTGAACTAAAACGATGAATCCGCCTTTAAATGTCACTGTGTACTTTACGTGGTAAGGGATAAGGACTCACATCTATAAGTTGATGAAAATATGGTCAAGATAGCAAACGCCAACTTCTGCAGACTGCTAATATGTCTAGAATTGAATTCGAATTCGAAATTGGTTGATGGTCTTTCTAATTCGATTGATTCCAACTCTTTCATTGTTTCGACAAACTTTTTAGTTAATAACCCCGAAACTCAATCAGCTGCACCTAAAAACCTTCGATTTCAAACCCATCAAATTTAGATAAGCTGCTTTTAGAAAGTGGAGTCACATCAGGATGCGCAATAAATTTGAGTGTTTCCGATAACTCCTTGAATTCAGAAAACCTCGATGAAAATTCTTCGATAACGGAATTTATTACCAAAGGAACTGTTCGGTGCCTCTTTCTCCGCCGGATTTTTCATCTATGTCAAAATCAGACTTTAATTTTTTTAATTTTTGGGAACAATATTTTTCAAAAGCGTGAATGAGATCTATCATAATTATAACAGTTTTATTAACGCCATGAAACTTTACGTTTAAATTCAGTAATTGCTGGCACCTATCCGTAAAAACCATAAGCTTTTCAAGCCACTATAAGCCTCAAACCTTCGTTTATTTAATATAGTTACCTGCGAAGATATGGGGTTCGCTATTTTTGTGACTACGCCCATTATTTNTATTAACGCCATGAAACTTTACGTTTAAATTCAGTAATTGCTGGCACCTATCCGTAAAAACCATAAGCTTTTCAAGCCACTATAAGCCTCAAACCTTCGTTTATTTAATATAGTTACCTGCGAAGATATGGGGTTCGCTATTTTTGTGACTACGCCCATTATTTTACAACGGAGGCGAAACCATGCTTTTCGCTCAAAGC